AAAAAAAAAAAAAAAAAAACGAAAATATTTAGGTCCAAAAATAAAAATATTCCAGAATATAATCTCATCACCCTAACACAAAGTTGTTTCCTGAAACTTTGTTGCATAAAGGGTTCATGATGAAGAGAAGCCACAGTTAGCTTCAACATTCTTTCAGTCACTCATTAAGTAATTATCCTTGGTGTACTCTATCCTAAGTACTGAATATGTCATGATGAATAAAACAGACACAAACCCTGCACTCCTGTAGAGCTTGCAATCTAGTAAAAGAGACAGAACTTAAACACACAGATAAACAAACTATGGAAAGCACTAGAAAAGAATAAGGCACCATTAGAGAGAATGGCTTATTTCATTTGGAGGATCTGAGAAGGGCTCTATCAGGAAGTGAGGTTTAAGCAGAAAGCTGAATGAGACACAAGCTTAGGGGGCACGTGCACATGGGGTACATAATGTGCCAACCTGAAGCAGCGGGTATCAGGAATGGAGGGGGAAGTGGCCTGCATTTCTGACAAAGGAAGCATGGAAGACAAAGGACACAGTAAAGAACTTGGTAAGTCTGAGGGATTTTTTTAAGTGCACAAAGGAGTAGTAATAAGGATGAGATGATAGGGCCATGTCTTGTGCACTAGCTTAAGAATGAAATTTATTCTGAGTTCAATGCAAGGGGTTTCCAGGAGTGAAATCACAAAATCTAATTTTTGATTTAAAGAATCATCCTGGCTGTGATAAGGAAAATGGATTAAAGGTGGGCAAGAATGGAAGCCATATGACTGGTTATGAAGTTATTACAGTAGCTTAGACAGGCAGCTAGGGTCAGAGGGTCAGGGGTGGCATAAATGAAAGTAGATAGATATGAGATACATATTTGGCTGTAAAATCAGCACTCCTTGGACAGTGACTGATTTGCATCATGAAGAATGAGAAGTATCAAGAAAAGACCCCATTTAACACACTGACGAGAAAAAAATTTTTCCTTGGGCCATGGTGTTTTATTACAAAAACAGAAAATAAAACAATGCTTTCTAATTTAGTGGAAATTTTGTTATTTTGTATTGTGTTCTATCTGCTGGAGTAGGCCAGCTGGAGCAGGGCAACACAGGTGGGAGAGATGTGCTGTCTGACAGCAAAAGCAGTGAGCAGAGGCTTCGCAGCTTCACAAGGCCCCAGGCTCGAAACTAGTGTGAGTTAAATACAACTCACATGGAAGTTAATGTGTTAATACACCAACAGTAAGGATAACTCTTATCATTCCCATTATTAGTGAAGTAACAAAGTGGTAAAAGTACTTTTATCTGGGCAGAGAGGATTTTAGGTGGTATTTTTTTCTTTATGCTTCCTAAATTTTCTATTTTTTTCTATAACAAACATATCATATTATGACTTTGAAAATATAAACCAATAAATATTGGTGTTTGTTCTAAAAAACAAAAAATAAATAAAACCATAAACCATTTAGATCTTTTCTAGCTATTTTTCAGAAGTACATTTGTATCTACTTCTAGTCCTACAAAACTACATGGCTCTCTTGTTTCACTTCCTAAACAAAGATGATCTCAGTAATTAGTCACAGCTGTGAAGCTGATGACTGTACCCTAGCCAACCAACTGGCTCCTTCATTCTGTTCTGACTTTCCTTCTCCCACACCAAAAGGGCTTTAAAAAGGCTGTATTGACGGCTTATGGGTCCTTCTGCTGCTGGGTGAACGACCCTGATGTCAGGTGTTGACACCTCTGCACTGGGATGAATCTAGCACTAGCAGCACCACAACCCAGACTAAGACACCTCTCTGAGTGCAGGAGGACCTCTCAGACAGACTTCAGGTCTGACTATGTCAAAGTCCTGACCTTATGATCACCACTGTATTCATGTTGGACTGATGAAAAAAATATTTTAAGTATCAAAATACCTGTGAAGGCTTAGGGAGTCTGGCTGCTATTCCACTTTAAGTTCATTTTGATAACTTCTAACTTTTTTCTGTTTGTTTTGAAGACAGGAGTCTATGTTGCCTCACTGGACTCAACTCCTGGGCTCAGGGAATTCTCTACCTCTGACTCCCAAGTAGCTGGGACTATATGCACGTGCCACTATGCCTGACCAAGAGCTCTAACGTTTGGCTGTGTAAAAGGCAACATGGCAACATGGGTAAATTAGTTGTTCTTTTGGGGCCTCAGTTCTAACATCTGGAAAGTGGAAATAATAGTAACTATCCCAAAAGTTTGTTATGTCATGTGAAACAGCATATGGATTGTGAATGATACTAAGAGGAACCAAAACTAATTGGGTAAATAAAACAACACATAGAAAAGCACAAGGTGCCTAACACATTGTAGGTATTCATTTGACGGAAAGGTTTCCTGTAGTTTACTCCTAATTATGTTCATAATATACCAAAAGGTACACATCAAAAAAACTCCACAGGCCGGGTGCAGTAGCTCACACCTGTAATCTTAGCACTCTGAGAGGCTGAGGTGGGTGGACCGCTTGAACTCAGGAGTTCAAGACCAGCCTGAGCAAAAGTGAGACCCCCATCTCTACTGAAAATGAAAAACTGAAGCAAGAGGATCACTTGAGCCCAAGAGTTTGAGGTTGCTGTGAGCTGTGATCCTACAGCGCTCTACCAAGGATGACAAAGTGAGACTTTGTCTCAAAAAACAAAATGAAACAAAATAGAAAACTCCACTATACATGATCATTGAAATATTCATCACAGTGGCACCTGTAGCTCAGCAGGTAGGATGCTGCCACATACATCCAGGCTGGTAGGTTCCAAACCTGGCCCAGGCCAGCTAAACATCATTGACAACTGCAACAGAAGTATAGCCAGGTGTTGTGGGGGTCTCCTGTAGTCCCAACTAGTTGGGAGGCTGAGGCAAGAGAATCTAATGAGCCCAAGTGTTTGAGATTGCTATGAGCTGTGATGCCATAGTGCTTTACCCAGGGTGAGACTCTGTCTCAAAACAAAGAGAAAGAAATATTCATCAAATTTCTTGGCTTGGCTCGGCGCCTACAGCTCAACCGGCTAAGGCGCCAGCCACGTACACCTGAGGTGGCGGGTTCGA